TTCCCGTGATCTGGCATAGGACCACATCAAGAAAGGTTTGTTACAATATGGAACTCGGTTTGCAGGACCGAGATATCCCATCAGGTGAAACTCCTCTAGCTCTTGTCATATTCAAAAGCCAGCCAAATTAGTAATGAAACCAGTTTTGCAGATGTATGCTCCCTCTCTCCCATCCCACCATGTATCAGTAGTTAGTATGAGTCAAACGGGCCGTAGATAGCGTCGGCCCCGTTCTCAGACACGACATTAGGATTCCATTCATTGCGTGCCAGACGGCACCGCCAATTTTACAAACCGGCCGCGTCTGTGTGTGTGTGCATGTTGCACGCCATAGCAGCTAGAGCGTCCAATCATTTCATGAACCAATTGAACGGATCCTACGTTCAAGCCCTCAGAATTTAGGCATGTTATATAGTTTTGCTGTCTGACATTAGCAAACACGCCACAAATGCGCACTTCACTCTCCCTTATCTATGTGTGTAACGCCTCTCACTCTCATACCCTTGGAAGTTCGCAGGTAAACGGCAGTCACAGTTAGGTATTTTGCCCTACGCCGGGCTTGCTGTCTCCGCTCTCTGTCGAGGGCTTCTGTGGCAGTGGCACTCATAGAATTGAATACGGGCGTTCCGTTTTGCCTTGGAAATCTGATTTGATACGGCTTTGAACTACCGTGTTTTACTCCCACTCCCCCTACCTTCCTCCCCTTTTGCAGATTCAATTCTGCGGGCCCGTCTGCTACCTCGTGAAAAATATGCAGTCCCGAAACCGTGAAAACAGTTGTATTTATGCATTGTTTAATACTCCATGAAGCACTTGCTACCAATGCTGTACTTTTTTATCCGAAGCATTGTTACAATTGTGCCAAATATAATCATTTGTTTCTTCTTCCCTTCTCGGCCTTCGTCCCTGAGAGAGTAGGGCTTGTTTTATTTGTCTGTTTTTGTTAAAGTTGAGAAGCCCTCTGACAGGTTAAAAGGTATTCGTAAAACATATCCCGGCCTTGCATTTTGGAGAAAGTTAAATGTAGGTTATCGTATGTAAGTATAGGATCCTCAAATGTCTTCCCGCAACAGTTTTACGTTTCTTAGTGATTTAAGTTTGCGAAACTGGTTTTTGGCCTTGAAATAGTTGAATTTGGGAAATACTGCAACTTTTAGAACTTCGCCTGACTTGGTCTCAGCCTTACTTGAAGTTGCCTTTGGTGCCCTTCGGACTCCAATTTAAATCCGAGGAAGTCGAAAGTTCTTTCGCTTGGCCTCGATTTCTATTTGTGTCGTGCAACAGTGCACACGAATGACTAGTGTCAGGGCACAGTTGGAAAAAGAGACTCGATCGATGGAACTGTAATCCTCACCTGACGTTTTGGATTCGGTCTCGAGACCATTGTCGGAAACCAATGTTTGTTACGGTCTCGGATACTGGGCTTGAAGAAACATCCACCATCCGTCTCACTATCTGGTACTTAGGGGGGTGGCGAGTATTTTGCAAATTCGCCACCCTGTAGTGCCGACCTGGGGTTCCTGTCAGTTTAAGGGGTCTTCAACTGCTCTGCGTCAGGATGTGCACCCTTGACTTCGCCTCTCGAAGGCGATTCTAAAGTGGTATGCGGTATCAGCGTTCTTGAGGTCGAACCAAGTACTTCCCGTCCAGTGTTGAGCCCATCTTGGCAGAGGAGGTCTGGGATACAGCCGGTCGAATTCAGACTAGTTCTCTCTAGCCATGCCTTGCCACCTTTTCCTGATTTTCTGTGGCAGCTAATTTATTCAGAGAGCCTAATCATCTTGCATGTTGGCATTTATTAATCTCTACGTGTCTCTTGACCTCTTTCCTAAGCAGCAGACAGCTTGCGTGCTGACTGGCCCCGTCGTTTGTTTATGGCAACGTGCTGTAATCTGCGCGTAGCAAACGGCATTCTGATTACCGGCCGTGAGTGTGCCGTTGCACTGCATATTTCATAATATATGCGCAGCGACTGTCCGTTGGATCCAACACGTGTGTGCGCCCTCCCTTCTGGCCTGGTCCCCATTCCAACCCCGCTTAAGTGTTGCTGTTAGTTTGTGGACAAGGCCTTCGCTTGTACATTTGTCAAGCAAACCCTCGTGTGCCACCCGCCATTTTTGAAGGGTAACGGTTCGTACCAGACATGTGATAAGGCATCCCCCCCATGTTGCCTGTAATTAGCCCTCGTTGTCTACCGAAGTATCCACCCATGGGCATTAAATTCACTCCAACGATCCTCAGTCATCATATGCTGCCACTTAAGCAGCATACTCCATACTCCGTATCAAAGACCAGCCATCTGTATTTGAGCAACTCGAGTTCTTGCAATTATATTGCTTTGTGTTTGTGTGTATCCCATTTAGCTGTTTTCTTAAGTAATTCGGCCGATTGGATTTTCGGCAGTCTTCGGGAAGTTTATTTGAAAGACTTTGAGTGCACACGGCCTTAGTTGCGGTCGTAAATGTCAAGTAAACTTGCCGCAGGTGTTGTAGACCTTTTGTAGGTTTTTGTTGGTCGAACAAATCGCTGGCGCCTGTTGATGTGTGCCTACTTAAATGGTAACGAGACACTTGTAATATCGGGTTTTTTTAACCGAATGCAATAATTATCTGGTTGCTTCGACTTCCAGGAAGTTCCCGGGCAGTCTATGGAGTACCGCCAAGCTACCAGAAGTCGTTTGCAAACGTCGATCGTGTTATGCAAATGAGTCTCATGCACACTAGGAAACTATCCAAGCTCGGCAGTTCCCTTTGCAGAAACTAAATCAGTCGGATATCAATATGCATCCCGTACTAAGAAATCCCATCATAATTCTTTCCACAATGACCGCCGTCGCCTTTCATCCCCCCTCCCCTGACACCTTTGGTGGAGGGACGTACTCCCCTCACGTTATTATCCAGCGAACGGAAACGCCATTTCAACTCAGCTATGAAAAACTCGGTGGGATTCGAACCCGCGACAGCAAGGGGAAGACGATCTAGACACCTGAGCCACAAGGCTCCACCGGGAGCCGTGAACTCAATCACATTTGAGTCAAGTTGCCCGTCCAGCAAACCGCAATGTCTAGAATCCACCAAATCTGATTCAGTTAGCTGACTGCGCAAGCAGGATTTGCTAAGTAATCCATCTAAAATCCACCAGATTACTACTAGGCTCACGTAACTGACAGGTGTTGTCAGATTTTGAATAATTCATTTTGATTCAACTGTGAAAAATTCAGCGAGTTTAATAATGTTGCCTACGCAGTATACAACATAATTTCGATTCATTATAAAATTCCATGAGCCTTATATGATGCACTCTAAGTGGCGTAGACTAATGTGTGATCTTACACTTAAAGTATACAACGTGGCGCTTTTAAACTAAGTACAAGTTCAACTACTGGTCAGGTTCAGAATTATTCGGGAACTGAAAAGCTTTTTAAAACTGAAATATACCCCTTCTTCATGTAAAAAATGTAAAGAGGACGTGGTATTCTACCGGATGAGTAAAATAGTATCTTTGTGCATGTTTTTTAGAAGATATGCTTGAATTTACAAGGTCTCCGAAGATAAATGGGAAACTTCCATACCACATAAGTAACCACTTTTCATCGAATATGGTTTTTGTAGGCAGCCGAAAAGAAGGGCATTCGAGAGGGCGCATACTGGCGTGACTGAAAAACCTTGCCATTATGTTGCATGCTGATCAACAATACAAAACCACCTAAGTAATCCCTTGTGATCAAAAGCGCATTTTAGGGCTTCAGGCAACATTTTATGAGAAAGTCTGTATACTGTATGTCTTCGTAGACTTATCGTCTCTTATCCCTCAAGAGAAAGCATAAAGGTAAGGATTGTGCACCTGTATTCAGGCTCCGCCCCTCTCCCTATTCTACCTGCCAGCTGGGTATCTAATTTCCTTGCTCACCTCTTGTCAACAGTTTGACCAGGCAGATTATTCGTATGCACCGATAATGAGTTCACATCGAAGTGCGTGCCGTTTAAGGTAACTTTGTAATCTCATCGTTAACACGTAGGCTACTGAAGGGGACCAGATATGGTCAGTGAGTTAGTCACTTAGTTGTAGGCCTAGTTTCAATCGCTTTTATAGCTTTTATTTTAGGATGAGTCATTGTAGTTGCTCACGCACCTGAAGATTCTACTTGTTTGAGCAAATAATCTACGAAGGGCACGATTACGATAGAGAGGGAGGAAGGATCCTGTCCGCTGTGATCGTGAGAAAGCGATTGTCTGGTTACCTCCTTCGCAAATTCCATCGCCTCCTCGTTCACCGCATGCCATTTTGCTGGCTTTCATTTTGTGTTGCTTCTGTAAAGGATAGAGTGCATGAAGAAATGCCAGCTACATCAGGGAATCGAAATAACGGTCTCAGAAGGTATTCGATTCTGAAGGAAATGTTGACAAAGACAGGAAAGACTGGCGTATCCGCATCTGACTAATTAACTGTCCTCAGCCAGACATAATCAAACCCAGGTTTTGCATATCCTAGGATTCCATTAGATGCAATCAAACTCAAAGTTGTGCCCTGAGGAGGATGATTGGGCCGCAACCAAGGACAATCTCTTTGTCTAACAGTCATTCTGCGTCCACGTATTCTCGTACGGACTTACTTACTGCTTCACTTAGCACTACTGGTTCTACCAGACTCGCCTCCTGTTTTGGTGTTCTATATTCAGCCAATGTGGCTAACATTGGCGTCCACTGCTCATTGGCCTAGTGCTCGCTATCAGCGTTCTCGATCAAAGTAGAATTTCACAAGTTTTTAAACGGAATTATGAAATCGGCTTTCGCTTTTATGGATGCCTTTGGCTCTTATTTGGCAGTGGGTCCAATGACTTTTGAAACTTAAGTTCTCTGTCTGAGTGTGTCTGGTCTATTTAGTACATCTTTATGCTCGTCTCAGGTGAGCTTGGCTGCTTATCTGAATAACTACGTACTTATCAATATTCTCTATTTTGTATTTTTAGGTGGAGTCAAGTGCCCTCTAGAGATATCAAAATGAAATTTCGGGTCTGGACCAATGACGGTAGTTGCATTGACCACTTCTCAAGTACGCCAATCTCTTATTTGCTCTTTAAAGTGGGAGTACTTTTGTGATCCATGTTGCTGACCTGATTTATCCTGCAGACCTTTTGGCGACCATTTCGGGGCTGGCAAAGAACTGCGTCCTTCGCATCACGAAGAGTAGTCTCAACTTCATAATCCGAGAACGAAGTCTGCAGGGTGGAACTGAGGCCTGGTGCGAACTTGAAACGGTAGGTTCATCAAACTTCTAATCCCCGCAGAGGGGTTTGGAGGCTATTCAACCGGAGGAGTCCTGGCTTCACACTTAAAGTGCACTAGCTCAGCAAAGTTACATATTCTGATATTTCCGTTGGACATGGGAATGAGTGCCTCCCCGTATTGTAGGTGGCTTTGCGCCAAATTCAGGGCGGGGGTGCTTATTTCTGTGTTCTAACTTTATCCCTTGCATTAGCCCTTTAACTCTATCCGTAAGCCCACGCCTCGTAACCCTAATCGCCTGAATTTAGCACAAGGCCACATGTAATGCGCCTGGGGACACTTATTTCCATGTACTGCCGACATTTCTGTGTAGGCGAACCCTGACTGATTCTGTGGAGGAAAATTGCCGTTTGCGACCTTTTATGATGCGACTCATTCTTATACCGCAGCTCAGGCCCTACTAAAATCCTGCAACACTAGCTCTTCATCCTACAAAATCGTTTACATGTGCGCATTTTCTCCACCTTCCTGACCGACTAAGTCATTCCTAACTTTTACAGCTTCACGAACCAGGGCCGCTCAAATCGCAGATCAAACGCTAGGCCCTAGTTTTAGGTCCAATTGCAGTGCAATGTTGTGAACGCATGACCCAGTCATCTAATAAACACTGTGTTGCACTGGTTCGCATGTCGAATAAACGAGCCGTGAAATTACCCGATACACTTAGTTGTCCACTTGGCAGTCGCATCCTGAATTACGCTCCAGCTGGATTATTCAATTCCAAACTCATTCAGCAGCGCACAGCCTTCAGCATGGACCATTATGACCTGTTTTTCTTCGAGCATTCGCCAGTTCTAGTCTGATGCTCCCATTTCGAAGCCTTTTGTATGGATCTGTTGAAAACAGCTGCTTCCTTAGTTTATCTACCCTTCTCCACAAAACTTCCACATTACTTTGTCTTCCTCGCCAATTTACGCTTGTCATCACCATTGTTTTCAGACAATGTTATGTACACCCTAAAGTCAAGTGTGGTGACCCTCCGCTCAGCCTACTACTGCCTCCATGGAGACTAGACTGCGTTTTTTGACACTGGAACTCCACGCCTCTAGGCCAATGCATTCGAATCCAATCACTTTCAAAGGATGAACGAGCGCACTGTTTTCTAATCACTCCTTGTCTATCCACTGATTTCAGTCATAAGTTGCTGTCATCGCCGTTATTTGTCCACGGAGGGCAGCGTCTCTTAATGCAACCGTCACTACCGTCAATAGCTTTCGAGTGGTCGCTCTTAGTGCTTTTGCGTACAAATAAGCTAGACGTGCTCTTTATCCTAAGGAGTTGTCTGATTTCACCCTTCCACAGCCTAGCCTCTTCTCGGAGTCCGTGTGTGATGGTCTGTCCGCCGAACAGGATGAAATTCTCCTCGAGGTGGTTCCGGAGCAGATACTGCACTGCCTAAGAAGTGGCACTATCAGTGCCGCCGGCGCCGGGAGCTGTACGGCAATTGGCTCGCTAGCCTCCACGGCTGCCTCCGCTGTCTTGGCTTCTGGCATCGCAAGAGCGACCCCTGGTAGCACCAGCATGAACACCACGGTGCTAGCCAGAAGTCTCAAAATAAAGTTGGTGCGCCGAAAAACTCCCTGTTTGGCCCTTGAACTCGAACAGGTTGGCCCTCCTCCACTTTCCTTTTCTCCATGTCTCTTGTTATCACGCCATGTCTCCCGGACCCTTTTTACCGTTCTTTTGTTACGACGCGATGTTATTGTGATGTTACACTTTTGAACATTTGCACAATCCCAGTCAAAACAGCACAACTTTCAGGAGGTGGTCATCATTACGGTAAACTTTCGATCAGCCAGTGACGATTCCTCGTTTACGCTGTTACAATTACGTCTGTAGTTCTGAGTTACGTGACGCAGAAAAGCGCGTCTTTAGCATTATGTGGGCTCTAGGGTATAAAATCGAAACCTGTAAAATTGGTCTTTTGTCAGTTCATTCTTGCCAAAAATAGCTGACTGCATAAAACAGGATCTAGGTAGGAAAGTATATGTTGCCCACTTTTTCAGATTGTGGTCAAGATAACGAGGTGTGTGGACTGGGTATTGGTATTACGATTCCGCTTATGCAATTTTGTTTAGTTGAAAATATATTTGAAATGTTCAGTCAACGTTTTATTCTTTCAACGCCTACGTCTGCCCGGGTTGGGAAACTCAGGCGCATATACCGCTAGTTCTGGTTTTTTCGTGCTGTATCTGTCCGTAAATCCCCGTTTACAAACCCAAAAAGGCTTCTTTTCAGAGTGTCCTTTCTAGTCGACATCTCAGCGACGTCCGCCTTCCTCCTGCTCACTTCAACTTGACTTAAGCGCCTGTCCCACAGCTTTTCAAAGCCATGGAATAACTCAACCCTCTTGCTCCCAATAGGGTAAAGCCTTCTGCTCTTAAGTTAGAATCTTTCATCCTGTCGACTTACAAAGGTTAAACACGGCGTTCAGTAACGGAGGGGCTCCTTCCCTTAAACAGTAATTTTGGCTCTTTTAGGCCAGTGTCACTGGCAGATCTCGTCCTGTCTGGCACTTTATTCCCGTCCACATCCTCCCGCCCCGTCTGTGGCCAGACTTTGAAGATATCCCCGATCCCGAATTTGATGTAAGTCATTTGTCATTCCCGCAATGCTTCCTTCTCGCCCCCTTTCATTTGCACAATTATTATACTCGTTTTCGTTCCAGATCCAATTCTCCTGTCTACTAGCTCTGCTGGCCAGCGTTACTTCTCGATGCCAGATATTTTTTTTTATGCATAAAGCCTAATCCACATGTAGGCGGATGCTGTGCCCTGAAGACCGTTTCCCGTCATCCTGACCAAGTCTTGCCATTGTACCATGATGAGAGTGCGATGAGGGACCGGGGTTGTTGTCACTAAAGCCTTCATCTCAGTGATTCAACTGAGGCACAAGCTGTCACTGCCCACCCCCCCCCTCCGTTACTGGTGATCGTCATTGTTTGGAAGACAAGCTATCGGCTGACTCTATTTACCTCTGAAATGAGATGACTAGCAAAGGAAAAGGCACTTTATTGCCGGCTGATTATGTTGTGTCGTCGGAAACTGACTAATGTTTTCTTCATTTTCGTCCAGCTCAGTATATTCCTGCCACCTGTACGAAACCTCCGGCTTTTCGTTGACAGAATGAAGCGCTTCGCGAGGTTTATTGTATGTTCTATCTTTTTTACTAATTTCTGACGCGTTATTGCACTTTTTATATGAGCCTGTCCCTTGTGCCATTGTTTCCGTGACACAAACTCAATATGACCCCAAAGAGACTCGTGGGACATTGGTAGAATGTATTTGACTGGCAACCGTTGCCCGATACATCTCGGGTCACTGACCTGTCCAGCTTGATACTTCCTCTCTTTATTATCAGACTTTCCTTTCCTGCTACGCTGCTATCTTTTACCCCCTACTGATGCACACATTACTACACCATTGTTGAAAAGTGCATGTCATACTGCAAAGTAAACTAGTTCTGTATGGTCGAAAGTGGACCCTTTAGAGAGAGACTCGCACGTTTCTTGCATGCCTAAAATTCCATAAATCACCTGAACTCTATTAACGCCCGTAAAACCTAGGTTGTCCGTGCGACGGCGCTCTCGGAATTCGGGTCAGAGAGGTAAACGTCAGTCCTCATCATGGTATCCTTGCAATGCTGTATAGTTTAAGACACTTCCACTCTTGCGTTCAAAGCGCCATTCAAATATAACTTAGCGGCATGAAAACGGGGATGCTCTTTAGCTATGTAGTCAGTTTTCAAATGAGGAATAACTAGCAATCAAAAGGTTGGGCTGTACTACAAACAAAAATGAACTCCTCCCTTTTGATCCTTGGCTAAATCGAACTTTTATGTCTGCCTGTTTTGAGCAGCAACATTTGTAAATGTTTAATCTTTACTCAAAACTTTATATTCGTCCCGCTCCGCCCCCACATTGTTTGAAAGGCCATATTTCGCCCATTCGGCAGTGTCCGCACGACTTTTCACTTAATACTATCAGTACCATAGCTTACGTGCATGCCACCAACTCGTATACTTCAAGTTGTTATTACCTAAAGCTAAAGGAGACTGCTAACTAAATGAATTCGGAGTTTCTTCTTAGTGGTTTACAGATATAGCAGAGATACCACCGCCTTCCCAAAGACTGTTGTCTCTCGCCCCGACGTATCAAATATGCTACTTGCGGGCTCCACTTCAACCACCCCATCGGCTTAATACAGCAGAGGCTGACGATGCGAAGCTAGTTAAACAGTGGTCGCACTTACTCAGTGTAATACAGACTAGTTGCTTACTAATTCGCCTATTGAAATATGTCCTTTATGACCGCTTTACATTCAAAGACCTAAGTTGTCGTGTCTTGGGTGAATACTCGAATCAGACAAACGTGCATTTCATCCCTAACCTTTATAACAGGCTGACTCTGTCGCCTGGTCTGTGACCACTAACCTCTTGACTCTTATTCTCCCACCCATGACAGACTGTCAGGGCCAACGGTGCCGGCGACCTCTACTTAGAAATAAACATGGAAACCTTGGCTAGAGTAAGGCTCACTTACCACGGTCTCCGCGCCCGTAATTGGCATCAGGAGCTGGACAAAAACAATTCGAGGGCCGTCGACGTGGGAGCCACGGTGGAGCTACCTTCGGCAACTGAGTTCTCAGCCACTGTAGATATTCGCCGTCTGAGTCAGCTGCTAAGTAGTCAACGTATACAGCCTAATTGGTTTGTCTGTAGTAAGTCTGGAGCTAGTTGCTGCACTTCTCCCTCAACTTTCCTGTCCCTCTGCTGTGCTGAAGGACCCATGGTATTTAATTTGACTGTGGCTTTTCTTATGCACATATCATAAGTTAAACGTTCTGATGTGCTATGCTATTTAGGAAAGTGCGTCTGGTATCGTGTTGGTTCCCAGATGGAGCAGAGATACCGTAGCCTTCTCTCAGATTGTTGTTTCTCGGCGCAGCACCTTTGTTGTCTTCTCATTTTCTTCCAATTCAAGCATGGAGGCGCTGAGAGCTTTTCCCTCATTTACAGTGACACTTCGTATGCTTTTCGTTTGGCCCTCGCATAGTCCTTATCAAGGTCCCGCGCAACAAATTGTGTTTAGTCATTTTAATTTGGATCATTTTTCGTCGTTGGAATTTTAGACTTGATCATATCCCGACCACTTTGGAGGGCAAGCTTCTCTCTCTGGTCAGCGACTTACTCTTAAGACGGACCTAGGTTCAGTAGTTTCTGCTTATATTCAGCGAAGATTTAATATCAGGGATCAGTATTTTCAATATAATTCATCTATTTGACTTTCTGTCCCAGGCGTGTACAAGCGGTTTACTCACTAATTATATGGCGCATTTCTGGGTCAAATGTCGTAAAACTCTCATGTATCCTAGAAAGAAACTCGGTCCTATTGCTACACCGTCCGGCCGGGTCGTCGTTCGCAATCAGGTATCAACGTCATTCTAAAGGGTCGCGAATTGTCAGTTTTCCTAACCATGCTGCCCACCTAACCCCCTCTCCCCGTAACATAAATCGCGCGGTCAGAAGGTACAGCACCCAAGTAAAGATTTTCTCCAAAAGCCCGTGTATGTTTTGCGACAGTTTTATGCCCGAGGCAAGCGTGCATGGGGGATGCACCATAATTGGCCGTTTACGCTTGCAGTCTCCTTAGGTACATTACTGGCTGTATTTTCAGTTCTACACGCATGTAGCCGAACCTGACGGTTGTACAGATCAAGTCTATGACGTCCGTACCTTTTGTAAAATCATACCACTCAGCCAGTTTTGGGGGCGTGGTTCCACTTTTCCCTACGAGTATTGAGCCGAAATACTGACAGCAAAGCTTCCCCACAATGCCTCCTCTGTACTGCAGCATGCGTAAGGTAGGTATTGAACTGCTGTACTTTTAATGTTTACGTAATGCTTCCGTGGGCTTGTGTCTAGAAAATTTGACTGTTATGAACTGGAGGCGAAGGACAAACTTTTTCATAGCTTCAGTTGATCCCCGCTAACCACACTATAGTAAGCAATAGCCACGTACAAAATTAGGGAGGTATGACCGTGCTCCGCATTAGCATGTAGGCAGAGCCACTGATACTCTGATGCACTCTATCGGTAGTGCATGACGCAAATTCATTCCAAAACAGTCGCCCACTTGCTCTGCTGCCAAAGCACCGGCCACATGTGTGCGTATGTGGTCGTGATTTGGTAAACGTTGGAGTCAGATGTCGAGGTTGGTCAGGCAGTGAAATAGTAATCGGCAGTAAGCATTCTGCGCATTCCTGCTTTCGGTTTCAAAAAACCACCCAACCAGATTAATGCCACCAATTTCAGAAAAGCTGCTTCCTTTGCCTTTATTGGCATCAAAATACGGGACAGGGCTCTGCTCGTTGTGCAACCTTAATAACTGTTGTAGATTGTTTACACAAGCTACTTTTTTACTTTTGTTGTTTTCCCCCTTGTGTTTAGATATTGTGAATGAGCACCTTCTTCAGTTCGTTCTTCTGTTTGAGAGTGCTCGCCTAAAGTATACGCTACCGGCGTCCAGACTCTAATCCTCCGTTTGACTCATAATTCTGGAGATGTTCCCTGTTTTCTACACGCATTTCCCATCTCTTGCTTCGCCGACTCAAAATGCAGGGGATGAGCATCACCCGATGTTTTGTTTCAATATTTTGTTATAAAAGTTTAGAATAAACAAGATTTTTTGCGTTAGGGAATATTAACTGCGAGTGTGCTTTAAAATAAAAGGTAGACTTCCATAGCTCTTCATAAAAGTTGCATTTGGACTATGGGCTAGCACATGCATTGAAAGCGTTTCTGAAGAAAAATCTGGAAATCTTGCCCAATTCACAAAAATGCAGGCACTAATATATATACAAGTATTGCGAATAACGGTGTACTCATGGGAGTCAGGTTCTGGTTTACGCGGTGAAGGATATCAGAGGAAGGACTGATTCTGATATGTTAAGTAAAAAAAGTGTAGTAGTAAGCCATGATGAACATAGTTAAAAAAAGATTGTGGTGGACTGTACTAGTCGAATTGCATCCAGACCAATCATTGCAGAAGCAAAAAAGTTTATAATTTTCCGTCTCCGGACGAAGGGAGCCCATAGCCCAAAGTGCCAATTCGTCGCCTCGTAAGTGACTCTGTAAATACTGTTGGTTAGAAACAGAGTACAGGCAATATCCGTGCCGACGTACTTTGGGCATGTCGAGGCGGATCTGGGCCGTCAGAAGAAGGTCACTGAGGCAGCCACGAGTCACTATCACTTGGTCTATTGGGATGGGTATTGCATTCAGGGCTCGAATTTTTTTATTTAAATCTTCAGTATCCAAAATAACGATTCTTATATAGTAATCGTCATAGTACCAACCAGGACCTGGCCACTTGATTTACGTGAGGAGGTTTGGTTCTTTATAACTAATGATAGCATAACGAAGAACCCAGTGTATATTTTGCGGCGAAAGTGTTTGTTAAAAATTTGGGCGTATTTCAAAACCAGCTGTCTGACTATTTGGGAAACGGCGAAAATATCAAAAATCGTAACACCAATCCCTAAGCTTGCAGTCAAGAAATCAAAAACTTTCTTGTTAGGTCTTCGAATTCATTATCCTACCGGGAAACATGTGATCAAGCTGTGACAATCCCGGATACATTGGTACGCTTCCAAGATCTTGCAGACAAAGTTCCGATTGTATTATTAAGATCATTATCTGCTATAAATAGTTCAGATGATATGGGAGCAGTTGATTCCACTTTTCTTTTTGTGATTGCCTATAAGCATCTTATTACTAGCCCATTTAAATGTCTCATATATAGGTCAGCTCTCAGGGGGTTAGAATAATCAGCCAAGCATAAAGTCTCTCCGCAATCGGCCACAGACCTTCGGACAGTATACGGGTCGCTATAGGCGCCTATAGTAACCCGTATACTATCCGACGAATTACATTTGCGTAGCGCTGTGCAAATTTAATTCGTCAACGTACCAAACAGACGCGAAACCGCAAATTATGGTTTCCAAATTTCCCAGTAAAATAAAGTATTAATTGTAACATGCTGATTTACACGGTGGGGTTTAACCCTTGGCTTACCATTCACTTTTTCAATCAGTTTAACGCACATTTGTTCGTGTACCGGAACTCCATTGCACAAACGCCAGTGCATTAATCGCACGTCGATAGGCGGCCCACATCCGCTCTGGGCGCTCGAGCACGCGTAACACCATAATTCTTGCGTGGAAATATCTAAGAATCTTGGAAAAGCACGGTTTCGAACCTTGAGCGATAACTGCCAATGGGAGCGCGGAAAGGATCAGTGAGAGCATCTCCAGCGCCGTATGAGGAGTAAATAATTGTGGTGCAGATAAACAATCGGCCGCGGTAGCGGTAACGTATCAAAAAACTGATTGTACAAGAACTGATTAGGGATCTGGAATCTACTTTATTATATCTTAGGGTGATGGATACTAGGTTGGAAAACCCAATTAAAGACGGTTCACATAGTACTTAGGCTACGATAAATGTTACCTCCGTACAATAACGTGCCAACTTTACATCTTGTTGGTGCGATAGTGTAAAACTGAACCCTGGGCAACCTCATACGCTGAAGATAATGATCGTCCGCGTCAGTTATAACTATGTGCAAAATGATGATTTGCTGTAACAGAGCTTTCCTGTGAATTTGGGCAACATTTTTCAAGCAAACATACATCCAGTTTATGCATAAATGTCTTTGTTGAGTACGCCATTATTATTTCCCCAAAAATTGCATTCCAGATATCGACAACTCGCTGAGTCAACGAATGCCAGCAAGCGATTTCGACCAAATGAGTGCCGAACTAAACGGTATAAATTGAGAATCAGTGTTATCAATATGTCCTTGGTGGTCAG